GCCGACTGTCTGACCACAGAACGCATCAACGTTGGCCGGCTATCCGCGGCGCACCTGGGACCCAGTAAGGGTGAGCATCCACATCACTATACACCCGCCGCGACAACCGCCCGTCGTAACAGTCACCTACCCTTCACTTCCAAAATGCGTGGTCGGCGCATGGGTGATGAGTTGCATCCAAGGAAGAGCCTGGAAGTGGTGTCTGCCTGGTCCTCCAGCTGCTCGCCTTCAACGCCAAGTAGTCGCCTATCCAGCCGTCGGGAATCAGTTGCTAAAAAACTTGGTATTAGCAAGGCCCTCTCCTCAGAAGTCGATGGAAGAGGAGATCAGGGCAGTTATCGGCACATGGCCTCGGATAAACGACGACAATCTAGGCCAGCTGTCGAGATGGCTGCGGATCTACAACAGCAGCAGACCAACCGGCCCTTCCGCCGAGACTACACAATCGACGCAAAAACGGATCAACTCTTTCAGGCCTTCCTCCAGCACGACCCCAGTCTAGACAAGACCTGTATTCCATAATGTACAACGAAGTAGGTGGACTGTCTCTTGTACGCGGGAGGCCTCCATCAAGCTGCACGTCTTTTCATAATTACACATTTTTATCTCTATTTCCCTCTGTTCCCCGAAAAGAGCTTTATGTCGCACTCAGCCGAACACTCACACAATCGCCAGTTCTCTCTCTCCCCCCTCCCCCTGTTTCCTTGGAGGTCTGTATAAAATCAAAAATGGGTATTTTGGTTTGCACATAATTTGGCCTACAAAATTGTACGAATTTCTCAAAAAAAAGCTCAGTGTACTGTTCAATATACTTATCGGAAAATTGCGATTTGTCAGTTATTCTGCTTCTTTTTTAAATATACATAGATAGCAGGATTTGTTGGATTGAATAAATTTCGCAACGGCTGTTCAATTGCATCCCGACATTGTGTAAGCTAGCTGAAGAAAAAAAAACATACAGCAGTTTTAATTTTCCCAGAATGTCAACACATAACAGCAGCCATTTTAAGTCACTACAAATAATAAATACACGAAGAATATTACATAAAATCAGCCTAAAGGAAGGAAAGTTACAAGGAAAGTCAACGTAGACCACAGTGGCGGTTAAAAATAGGTGCTCAATTACTGGATAAATTCGAATTTGATCTCATAGTGAGGCTGATCGCATAGGTTAGGTTCCTCCTGCCGTATGTAGGCCGCTTCCAAGTAATGCAGGGTCCGACTAATTCGTGCCAGAACAAATACTCGGAAAGCCATTTTGTGGTGGACAGAGTGGCCAGTGGCTATCAGATAGTTAGTACTAAGAGGAGGTTGCTAGATTTTACCTATTCAATTTACCCAAGTATGAAAAACGTGTGGTCTTGGGGGGGATATTATGTAATTGAGGACCATGGTACCCCATGTTCTCGCTTGAAAGCCAGATAGGCAATTGCTCAGAGGCCTTGACTGCCAGTTTCTTTTGCGTACACACAATGTGCTTGCATCCGCAAGTGCACTAAACTTCATACACACAATGTATGCTGGCGGGCAACGTCAAGCAATCATTACCTCTTTCTATTAGAAAGTTTTTAGTAAGATTTAGGAAGTCAACTTCTGTTGCGCGGTACGTCCTTTCTGTGGTGCAGCGCAACGGTCGCTTGATGGTTTTTGAAACGTCATCATTCTTAAAGGTTAGGGATATAATGATGGACTTTTTTGGGAGGACGGATGGAAAGCGGCCTACTGACAAAGACTAGATTATTCTTATCGAAGGAGGGCCTATCGCAGGTGTTAGGTTAATAAAGAAGACCCTCGTCACTATGACCTTCAGGCCCGGTTCCTTGTGGAGAGAGGAAAAATGGGAAGTCAGAGTGGCAGGAATATTTTATTCTGTACAGAAGGAGCGGAGATTAGGCTGGAGGACTTTGACACTCGGACGGGCCTGCGTCCGGCCATGAGACCGGTATCTGAAGCGTGAGAGAATGGGATTGTCAAAAACGCCTATGAAGCGGTCTTTGTATGACTCTGCTTCATGGAGATGATTGGCCAAACCGGGATATAATGACATCTGTAGCTGACCACAATATTCCTTTGTCCGGCGTACTTCTCCAAGTCTAGC